CTGATTTTGGCTCTAAGTCTCGTTTCAGGCTCTGTTTGGCTCGGGTTTGGGGTCCACCCAGGTTTGCCCCAGCTGTTGACTGGCTCAGTCTGGTAACACTAGGGTCAGGGGCTGGAAGGGCTCTCTACTGACAAACACAGGGGGCTCCTGAAGAAGATAAGTCTCTTCAGTTTGGGTACCAACGAGGACTTCTTGAGGCTGTCTTTCTCAGGACACATCATGACAAAGCAAGGCTCAGTGGGAAAAATAATCATGCTAGGGAAAGTGGAAGGCAGAAGATGAAAGGGAAGACCAAATTTGAGATGTTGGTCTGGCAACTTTTTTCTCACATGGAAGAAACTTGTTGGGTGAGATTCAAGACATGACCTGAACCATCTTTCTCCAATATCCACAGTACCACAAGTCCTGAAAACTGGAATGGGAAATCCTTTCAGTATTCTGGCAGCAGGACTTCAAAAGCTTATCCATAGTTGTACAAATGGCAGAAAAGAGCTGAGAAATGGAAGGACTTGAAGTCCTTACAAGGTAACTATCATTAGGCTGAATGGCACTGTCAGATTTCAGTATCTTGAAGGTCCTTGGATTCTTATGTATTAAATTTATTATACTTATGCCAGGGGAGTGGAGAAGTATTTGTGGGATTCTCTGTCTCAGCTGCCAAAATAACTAGGCTAGCCTTGGGTTCAAGGCCCGTTGCCATGGCAGTGGGCGAGCTGGCAATAGGCATGCATGTGCTGTTCTAGCATAGAAAGTCTTGGATCAGCTCTCCATGGAGACCCTCAACAGAAGTAGCTAGTTTTAAGAGCGAGACTGACTTATTCATTTTCACATTTCTAAGAATACTTGCTGCCATCTGGTGGAATTCCCACAAAGGGAAATACACCTTTTAGTAAACCAGTTCTGGCAAGAATTTCTGACTTCTACCAATCCAGCAAACATCACAGAAAACTTTTGTGTTCTTTGAAAGGACTACTTAGGTTTTATTATAGGAATTCACTTTTCTCTGTGCCAAAAAATGGGCACAAAGTGGTAGGTAAAACAAAGCTGGCTTTATTACTTGTGAAGATAAAATACAGGAATAAAAGGGTACTTTAATTCACCTGTGGAAAATGACAAACTGCAAAATGAAAATGGAACTTTTTGATAATGTTCCATGTGAACAACTTAAGATGGGTACAATACATTGCAAAAAGTACCAATTATATAGTAAAATAGTTCATTTTTTCTTATTCCAGAATTAAAGAAACATTGCTGCTTAATTCAAAATAACATTTATAACAGGAAACAAGAGAAGATATTCAGGATGCGTTGGTGAATAATCCTAATCTGAAATATTTCCAGAACTACTTCTATCATTCTCATGGTTCTTCAGTGAATAGTGAACTAAATTTCAAGTCATGTTTTCACACAAAAGGTATTTCATAGACTTTTTAAGGACTGATTTCAGACTGGAAATGGAATTCTGTCTTCTGGGGAATCCCAAGATTTTGCCTTGGTTTTACAGGCTGAAAATGAAATCCGGATGTTTCCATCCACTGGCAAAGCCAAATATTCTCTGAAGGGTTGTGGGGGGTCGCTGGAGCAGATTTGGGAGGTGTGCAGTGCCGTAGAGGAGATGAAGAGTGGATGGGATCATAGCCATTTATACTGCAAGTTGAAGGGCAAGTTGATTCGCAGAATAACCGGTGTTCTGGCTTAAATGCCTGCCAAATATCCTGAGCTCACTTTTGTGAAGTCTTGCTACCCTTGCAAAAGTGGGGCTATCGAGTATTTAAGGACTTTTAGAGGGATTTGTAAGACATGTAATGTGAAAAGGTCAGATTCCATATTAACCCCCATGAACGGAAAACATGACTGGCTATATAATACTTCATATAAATATATGGTGTGACTGCATTTGAGATGCTTATCACAATTTTGGTTGTCCCATTTCAAAATAAATTGTAGAACTGGCCAAGGTACAGAAAGGGGCAGCTAAAAGTATAAGAGTCTAGAGCAACTTCCCAGTGAAGAAAGGTTATCATGTTTGGGAGTTTTTAGTTTGCAAAAAAGAAAACATTAAAAACCCATCTAATTTTCATACAGGAATGTTGTAACTACCAGAATGTTGAAACATTGTGCTTTCTCACCCTGCCCCTGCCCTCTGGTGGTCATTCCATCCCTTGAAGAATTTTAGGAACCTGAGCTGGAGGGTAGAGTGGTAAAGCACCTTTCCTTATGTTACGATTTTTCAGAAGAGAACTATTTCCTTGTGGAGGATGAGAAGGTAATGACCACATATGATCATGTCACACAACTCTGTTAAAGTGTTTTCGAGCATGATGTAAGCTGCCTTGAGCCCTTTGTAGGAAAAAGGCAGGATATAAATTGCAATATAAATAAAATAAATAAATAAATTTTCCCAATTCAGTTATGGATTCCTGGTATTTGTCTCTGCTGCAAAACAGAGGCAAGTTCAGTCACTAACGTTCTTGTGCTTTTTCCTTCACAATTGTTCTTACTGTGTAGGAAAATCATTCATGTGACATATCATGTAGAGCAGAGCAGCATAATTATCTTGGAACGGAATGACTCATTTTTGGAAACTGTTTTTCTCTGTTTTAATAGTGGTGGCTGCTATTAAATTCCACTCCATGTGGGGGAAATTCCTCTCTGTGTTAAGGGCACACCACCAACATTTAGATTCTTTATTTAAAATCAAGCAGATTACTCGACACATGGAATGCCACATGTGCGCACAACCAGAGTTTATTACCACAGGGAAATTGGAAGAGACATTCAAGGAAATAGCAAATATTCATTTTGCTTTAACTTCCTAGCTCCTTGTTGAAAAGGCTCAAAATATTTCGGCCACTACTTTTTCTTTCAGGCGTTTTACTTGGTCTGCACATCTAATCGTAGAGCACAAAGCAGCCTTCCCCAGTGTGGTGCCTTCCAGATGCGTTGGACTGCAGCTCCTGCAATTTCCAGCCAGGGTGGGCTAGTCCCCATCACTTCCACAGTCCGAATCCATGTACCTTCCAACCCCTCTACCAGTGCTGCTGCTTACTCCTAAAAATATTGGTAGCAGGAGAATGGACATGCACACATGCTTGTACTACTGTAGCAGCGGAATGTGACTTGCACTGGGAAAGCAGCAAGGGAGGAAAGAGTTTATCCTTCTGCATTACCCCCTCTTCTGATATTTACAATGTGCTAAAGCAGCTGTGTTGCCTTCACATAGCTTTGTTGTCACAGCTAGCTTGGCTCCTAACAGATTCAAAAAGCATAGCCAAAGCACAAGAATTTTTCAATGTATTTATCTGGGGTGGAAAGCCTTTGGCCTTCAACATGTGTTGGCTTACAGCTGTGATCAGCCCTAGTCCTCATAGCCAAGAGTAAGGGACAGGGACAGGGACAGAAACAGAGCAAATCAGAAAGGGTCTGCCAGGCCATCTAGTCTGACCCCTGGCTCCAGCCAGCTCCACTCATGACATGCCTACCATGTGCATGTCAAGCCTATCCTTAAACACCCTCACTGATGGGGCTTCAACCACCTCCCGTGGGAGCCCATTCCATACTCTTGGGGTCGTAATTGTCGGGAAATACTTCCTGGCATCCAAGGTGAATTTTAGGTCCCTAAGCTTTGCTCCATTGGAACGTGTCCTGCCCTTCTCCGCGGGAGGAAACTGGTCTCTACCCACCTCTGTGTGACACCCCCTCACATACCTAAATGTTACCATTGGATACCCTCATTGTCTCCATGTCTCCAGGCTGAAAAGACCATATACTTGAGTAGTTTTGGAATACATACACAGTTACACTATCCAATGCTTCTTGCTTTTCGTGGTAGTAAAACTGCTATATCAACAAAGAACTGGGTCACCTCAAATAGCTTTCACTGCAGTCTGGTCACCATCCTTGTTGCCCCCATGCGGCATTGATTCTAACCTGGCCATACCCTTCCTCTAATGTGGAGCCCAGAACTGAATACAATACTCTAGTTGCAGACCATCCAGAATTTTATAGAGTAGTAGTAATACCTCTCTCACTCTAGCAGCCACACTTCTGGCTATGCAAGCAAGGGTGACATTTGCCCTCTTGACTGCCACGTCACACTGCTGACTATGTTTAGTCTGCAGTCAACTAGCACTCCGTCATCCTTTTCACAAGGGCTGCTCTCCAGCCACTTGTCCCCTATCCTGTACTTATGACACCTATTCCTATGCCCCAAGTGCAAGTCCTTGCACTTATCCACATTGAACGCCATCCTGTTGTCTCCTGCCCACTTCCATAGTCTGTCCAGATCCCTCTGGGTCTGGAGTACCTGCTCCTCCGTTGTGGCCACTGCCTCCAATTTAGTATTGTCTACAAATTTGATCAGCACACTTGTTTTCCTTTCTTCCAGGTCATTGATGGAAAGACTGAACAGGATCAGTACCAGGACAGAGCCCTGGGGACTATACTCATTACCAACTGCCATCCCGATGATTCCCTACTAATAGTTACCCTCTGCTTTTGCTCCATCAACCATGCCCTAATCCATTGGACAGTGCACTGGTCCATCCCAAAACTCCTCAATTTCTCAACCAGGATATCATGGGCACTTTGTCAAAAGCCTTGCTGAAATCCAGGTATACCACATCCACTGCATCCCCTCCATCTAGCCAGCTCAAAAGCTTGTCATAGGATTCCACAAGGTTCATCTGGCAGGACCTGTTTTTCCAGAAGCTGTGTTGTGTGGCTGCCTACCTCCCTTCCTTATCTAATGTTACTAGATTTCTTGCTATCATAAGCCTTTCCATTGTCTTTCCCAGAATGGACGTAAGGCTAACTGGTCTGTAATTCCCCATGTCCCCTCTCCTACCCATTTTGAAGATTGGAACCTCACCAGTTCTCCACAAAGCCTCAACTCCCTAAGTACCCTCAGGTGTAAACCCTCAGGGCCTAGCATGAGATCACTGGAAGACAATTTAAACAAATGTGAACATGTTTGTACAGAATGCAAAACAAATGCGGAAAAGAGGAGAACAGCTCGATCTGTTTTCCATGAGGAAAAGTGATGCTTTTCTGATTGTCTCAAGGCAATCGTCTCACCTTATCTTCAAGGTTATCAGCAGGGGCATTTAAGGGAATACTTCTTAGTGTGGTGATTAAAGTGAAGTAAGCATTTTTTTCCCCTTTCCTCTGGTACCAGTGTTCCAACAGTTTTATTTTCTGTTCAGAGCAATCGTGTTGGTGATCATGGGTGATCGCATCTATGTCAGCTGGAGACACACCCAGTTTCCGAACAAGTTTCCTGACCTCTTTTAGCTTCATGTCCTCCGCAATGTCAGGAATGTAAGGATTCAAGTTAACATCTGGAAAAGAAAAATGAGGACAATGCAGGAATTGTTAACTATTGATTATATAAACACAGATTGTCCTTAGTTTTACAGTAATTTATATTTGTTGTTGTTATGTGCCATCAAGCTGTCTCCAAACTATGCTGACCCTATGAATGAAAGCCCTCCAAAATTTCCTGCCTTCCTCAGCTCTTGAAAACTCAAGGCTGTGGCTTTCTTCATCAAACTGATTCATCTTGTAGTTGGCCTTCTTTTTCTGCCTTCAGCCTCTCACAGCATGTTTGTGTTCTGCAGTGAGCCTTGCCTTCTTAGGATGGGCCTGAAGTACAGCTTCGGTTTTGTCATTGTTGCTTCCACTTTTATACTAGACTTAGGCAAAATCATAACAAATCCTCAAGATATTTTATTGAGGATCCTCAAGAACCAGTGTGGTGTAGCGGTTAAGAGCATGGGACTGGGACTCAGACAAACTGGGTTCTAGTCCCCGCTCAGCCATGGAGCCAACTGGGTGACTTTGGGCCAGTCACAGACTCTTAGCCCAATCTACCTCACAGGGTTGTTGTTGTGGGGATAAGATGGAGGAGGAGAATGATGTAAGCTGCCTTGAGCCCTTTGTAAGAAAAAGGCAGGATATAAATCGAAAAATAAATAAATAAATAACAAATCCTCAAGATATTGAGAAGGCTCCAATACTGCCTGTGGTAGGTAAAACTTTGAGCAGTCCATTTTCTCTATTATACTTCTGCTATGATGGGAAGCAAGCTCCTACCTGGCAGAATTTTCTGTAACCTCCCCAGGTAACCCAAAGGTTGGTTTATCACATAGGACAAAGCCTTCTCATGGGAATGTTCTACTTCCAATTTTCACAAAGGAGTAACATTTGTTTGGAAGTGTATTTGTTTGAAAGTGCAAAGAAAAAATGTTCTCCAAATATTTACACAATATAGTTGTGACATGTTAGTTGGTTCAGTCATGCCTTTCTGTTTGCTGCAACTAAAAGACCATTACATGAATCTATGATTTACCACCTAGCTCAGAAGTAAGGAACCTCTGGTGCCAACCCCAATCCCCAGCACTGCTTACATAATTGCTACTGTCTTGTCTGTGATTCTGAAAAAAAAGAGTGGGTCACAGGGAGCACACTCCTTGTTTGCCGACAGAAGCACGTTCCAAGGAGGCTTCTGGGACTGTGATTTTGCTTTCAGACAAGACAGATTCTGCATGTCAGCCGCAGGCCTTGTTTTCTTGCAAAGCTGCCGCCTTCTTTTCTTTCACTTTGGCAAATCCACAGCATTGGGGTGGGGGGCACAAAAAGGGTAACAGGATACTGCATGTGGGCCATGTCTTGCCTGATCTTGATCTAACTTATTTTTAAAAAATAATGACATATATTTATTAAATAGAATCTAGCTTCCTGAAATAGCTCAAGAGTGCCAACAAATTTTTGCTAAACTAACCAACCAACCAGTTTACTTCCCTCCCTCAGAAACACTATAAAACAGCAAGGTAAAAGCACATTCCATTACAAAGCAACAAAGAACAACTGCTTAAAACAGGACCAGAAAGTCCCTTTACGAAAGGCTTTTCTAAAAAGAAAGGACTTCTTTACCAGGCAGCAGGAAGCCATTAGAGAGGGGGAAAGATGAGCTTCCCTTGCGAGGAAGGTCTAAAGCCTAGTGAGTTGGGAAGGCTGCAACTGAGAACGCCTTCTTCTTAGTCCCAGGATAAGATAGACTATTGGGGTTGATGGAACAAAAGGAAATATGTTGACCTTCCAATGGCATATGGGAGTAGATTGGTAACTGGTATCAAATTATAATAGGGTTTAATAATTATCACCAGCACTTTGAACTGGGGCCAGAAACACATTGGAAACCAATTCAGTTCTTTCAATAGGTAAGTTTCAATTTCCTCGAACATGGAAATAACAGTTAATAGCCTTACTTGTGCATTCTGGACCAGCTGACATTTCCAGGCACTTTTTAAAGGTAGCCCTAACTAGAACACATTATAGTAATCCAGAGAAGATGGATCTAAGGTGTTACCATGGTTACATCTCTATCCAGGTCCCAAGGCACGCACCATAGACTGGATTCAGACAACACAATAATAAACACTTAAATGTTAAACTATGGGTTGTGTCAGAATCCAGCTACATTAACAAACCACGGTAAATAACCCATAGTTCACAGCCCAACAACAAAGCAGGCTTGTTAGTGCACCTGGGGTCAGACAACATGGCAACCTCTGTTCAACAACAGTTCACTAAGAACCCACACTCAACCCTTCCTCAGCTCTTAAGTGTGGATCACAAAATCATAGGGTTGGAAGGAGCCAAGGTGGCATTAGGTCCAACCCTCTGCTGCTGCAAGGCACTAAGTTACATCATCCCAGTTTCTTTTTAAATGTCTCTGGTGAGAGAGAGCCCACAACATCTATAGTCTAATGTTTAGTGCTCTTATAATAAGGAAACTTTTTCTGATCACTAGCCTGAATCTGGGTTGTCACAGCTTGAAACGATTATTCCATGTCTTACACTCTGGTATCAGAAAAAGAGATCTTGACCTTACTCTTTGTGACAGTCTTTCAGGTACTTATAATGTGATTTCATGCTCTCCCTCAGCCTTCTCTTTTCAAGATCAAACATACCCAGTTCTCTCAGTCTCTCCTCATAGGTCTCTGTTTCCAAATCTAGGATAATTTTTGTTGCCCTCCTCTGGCCCCTTTCTAATTTACCTTCATCTTTCTTAAATCTTGGTGCCTAGAACTGGATGCAGTATTCTGGATGAGGTCTGACTAGTGAGGAGAACAGGGGAACTACTGCTTCTTGTGATTTGGAAGTAGTGCTTCAGTTAATGCAAGCCAAAATAGCATTTGCCCTTTGGGCAGCTGCATTGCATTGTTGGCTCATATTTAGCCTGTTGTCCACAAAAACTCCGAGGTCTTTTCCTTTTTCAGTTCTGTTGAGCCATGTATTCCCCATCTTGTATCGGTGCAATTGGTTGCTTTTTCCTAGATGGAGGACTTGACACTTGTCCCTATTGAATCTCATTCTGTTGCTTTCAGCCCTGTGTTCAAATTTATCAAGATCTCCCTGGATCTTCATTCTGTCTTCTAGGGTGTTCACCATGCCACCCAGTTTTGTATCATCTGCAAATTTGATTATCATATTGTCTGACCTCAGTCATACTCCACACATATTATGAAATTATTATTAATTTTCTATACCTGGATACTGGAGAGGTCTAACTTCCTAAAAGGAAAGAGAATGAAAAATATTAATGAAAAACATACAGACCAACAAGACAGTTTCTTTCCTTTGCTCTCAATGTTGATGCAAAGTGCCAACAGAAAACATTACTTAGTATTAAGGGAAAAGTTCAACTATATATTGAACTTATGATAGGACTGCCTCCAATGCAGTAGCCTCGCATGGAGTTCTCTTTCTCTTTATTGGCTTGCACCCGTTGATCATTGAAATGGCCATGCAATAAACAATTTGCTTGGACTGTAATTCGTAAATGCATATATTTGCAAAACAGATCTAATCAGTAAACCAGTAAACTATTTTGCCACATGGCCAGCTGTAATGTGTTTGAACTGACAACACAGGACAAATCTGTGGATAAGAGAACTGGTCCAAATAGGCCAGCAGAGACTAGGCCAGTGTGGCTACTTCTAGCACATAAAAAATCCCTATGGCAAACACAAGCAATGTTGCTGTTTCAATTGTCTAAGACTGACAGTCCTCTTCCATTTCTTTCCCTGTTTCCTTTATCATTTAGTTTATTTTATGCATTTGTTTAATATAATTCCTGGCTGCCTTTAAGGGCAATAAAATCCCATAGAATTAAACAAAATTTTGGCGTTGAAACAGCAAACAAAATATTAATATGAACAACAACCTATCTAGACCAGATGGCACTTAAATCTAAAATGCAAATATGAGGAAATCTTCTTTGGATTATTTTCAATTTATTGTAAAAAAAAATGCTACTCACAATTACAGTTTCGTCACTTTCATTTCTGTTTGGGTCTATTTTCTTCTTCTGTTTTTTTCTATCTGTATGTACAAAGAGACACAAAGAACTATTTACCAGATAGACTTAAAATAACAAGAATTAATATTAGAAGGCTGCAAGAAATCTATATCACCCATGTCAATGAAAAGCCCAGTGTAAAGGCAATTTTCATGTTGGGCATAATTATAAAATGAATCAAAAATAAATCTGCCAATACCATATTGCCCTTAAAGAAATCTATGGTGGAACCACACTTGGAATACTTTGCCCAGTTCTGGCCACTGCACCTAAAAAGATATTGCAGAGTTGAAAAAAATATGAAGAGTAACTAAAATGATAAGGAGTTTGGAGCCACGTCATGAGCAAGGATAAATGTCTGACGCAGTTTAGGTTAGAAAAACGATGGGTCAAGAGAGACATGATAAAGCTTCAAAAAATTATCAGGTAAAAAAATATTTCTTCTCCCATAATACTAGACTGCCAGGTAAGGGGGGGAAATACTTTTTTTACATGCTGCTTAGCTGGGCTGTGTAATTTGCTATGAGAGGATGTAGTGATGGCCCCCAAGCAGGATTAGAGAAATTCATGGTGAAGCCGATCTGTGCCTACCAGTTAGGACTAGAGATCATCTCCCGCGTGAGAGGCAGTATGCCTCTGTACACCAGTTGCTGGGAAAATGCGTGAGACCGTGCTGTTGCGCCACTTGTGGGCTGTCCCGCTTGCATCTCATCCAGCCCATGGATTTCCCACAGGAAGCCAGCTGGTCACTGAGTGAATGGGATGCTGCACTGGACAGGCCCTTTGGTTTCATCCAGCAGCTCTTCTGTGTTCTTGCCCATGTGTGATACATGCCACAATCTAACATAAAACTATTGGTTCTTAAGGCAAGATTCCCAAAAATTTCAGTTTTGTAATGGCAGTCTATTCCTGAACATAACACCAGGGAGGTACATTAACTTAATCCAAGAAAAAATGCATTATTTTAATCTGTAATAAAATGCCAAGGATTTTATGATTATTTTAACTGACATATGTAATAATTCTAGTCATGTTTGCCTTTATTGCTTATATATTGTAGTAAACATAAATACTTTCTACAATTGAATAGATTAATTGATCTTTTGACAAAGGATGATGATGATGATGATGATTTTTTCAGTTTTCCAGTGATTACACAGTAGCATTGATTAGCTCTAAATGTACACATTAAATTGCTATAAAAATAATGACACACTGCTTGGCATCTGTCTTTAAGCATGCATTTCAGACTACCCATTACTGAAAAAAAAGCTTAGAACATAGTGTAGTTTAGGGGAAAGGATATCAACTTACAACAATATAAAATCACTGCAACTAATATGAGGACGACGATGATGACGACGACAATACTTGCAATTGCCCAAGGTCGTAGTGAATTAACTGTTAAGTAGACAAAGTGATATGATCAATAAATATCCCCAAACCCCCTCCCCCAGGTTATACTTTCTCATGTGATAAGATTACATAATGTGAACCAAAGCCATTCTGGGATCAACACTAAACCCCCTCTGTTTACTGGGGACTGTTGTGGTGGCATTTACGCAGAATGCACTTACGTTGTGTTGCAACTGCGACCTTCTGTCGCCCAGGGATGCAACTATGGGACAGGAATCAAAATGAGTGCAGGGATATAGCCCCTTGAAAAGAGGAGTAGATTCCCATCCATTAATTATGCACCCTTGGGGAGGTGTGAAGGAGTGGAAATTTCTAGAGAAGGGGGGAAATGACAGCTCCTCCTGCCCCCTCACCAAAAAATTATGAAGAAAAAAGGATGGGTAGTGAAGAGGGGAGACTGGTGTTGTTTGCTGTCCTCCCACTTCCCATAATGTGAAACCAGTGGAATCTATACCCCTATTTCCCTCTACCCAAAATCAATTCCTGAAGGCAAGTCCAGCACCATTTCTGTGCTGACTTTCCCAAGAGGGACTGCCATTGAAATCTCTAAATCTCCATCACAAAATTAAGTTTCAACCAGATTTTATTTCCGCTGATACTAAGTTCTCTCAGTTTCCATTTATTGCTAAACAGAACTTCCAATGGAGCCATGAAGAAATGTCTGCAATGTTTCTAAATTTTCATTTTTCAAAAGGAAAAAAAAAAGACCCGGAGAAGCCCTTTAAGACCCTTTAAAACTAAAGCAGCACCCCTAGCAGTCCAATGGGGACTGAGCATGCTCAGAAGCTATACAGTGATCTGTGAAAAAGAGAAAACTGGGACAAGAGGACAACAGGATGGATTGCACTGAAGGAGAACATGTCTGACTGGAACCCTCAAGAGCGGAAGCCCTCTTTGGAGATGAGGATAAGCTGCAGTGGTTTGTTGCAGCCTGGGGAGCTAGCAGCATGGATAAACATTTCAACAGACTGTCTGAAACTTATTACTGGCATGAGCTACAACAGCTGTGTGAACCAGACCTGTCGTCGATCCATAGCCAGTCCTTCCCAGGTGGTTACCCCCTGCTTGAAGGTTATTTAAATGAAGTCAAAGATTTAGAATGAGGTCAAAGAGTCACCTAGTTTTGCACATTTGGTGTTTCTGGTTTGCGTGCAATTTTCTACCACTTGGGTGCCATATTCGCATCTATGAAAAAGAAAGATTTGAAAATAATGGAAGGTTAGATGGTTAGATAAAGGAACAAAGAAAATTATCCATCTGCTCATGCTATTGCTCACTGTGTTCCTGGTATGTGCATTCTGGAAATAAAACGTATTTGGAGAAATATGCCCCATGCATACTGCTACAACAGGTCCAGGCTGGGATCATGGGCTGTGGTGTCCAGACTAGACCAGAATCTTTAGCATTCTGTTGACATCACTATGGGTCTCGTAAGATATAAATATACTGAAACTGGCTAGTTAGGGACTGTTAAAAAAGAAAAGCATCAATAAAACAATAATAATAACAGTCTAATTAAAGATGTAGTGGCTCCAAAAACAAGATATATAACTAAGAGAAATCTAGAATAATACTAAGAGAAATCTAGAAAAGCATGTCCAGCAGAGTTTTTATGATTTAGTCTTGAAGTGTTTGAATACTGCATTGATTATTGACCTGGAAGGTGTTCGAGCAGAAAGGGGATATCACTTAATTCCTTGGGAGCAAACATTTGAGCCACATTTCATAACCTGTTGATTTTTATTTATTTATTTATTTGGAGTGTTTATATGCCGTCCCATTGCTTAACGCTTAAAATAGAAATGGTTTACTAATACTTAAAAATTGTGAGTGCGCCTGACAGGGGGAAGGCAGAATGCCAGGACCAGGTGCTGGTGTGAGGCAGGCTCTGGCAGCATGGCCGACCGTCCCCGATCTGAAACAGGACAGTGGGCAGTCGGACACAGTACAAAATGCGGAGGGCGCAGTCATGAACAGGTGGTGGAGTTTGAGGAGGGAGGCTGCAGGGAAAGACAGGAGTGGGCTGGAGCATGGCAGAAGCAAGGCAGGGATGACCTGGATCAAGGCAGCAACGAGTGGAGCAGGGCTGGAGCAAGGCAGGGATGATGAAGAGTGAGGCAAGGAGTCATAGGGGCAGCTTGCGCTGCTGCGGCAGAGATGCTGGTCTCCAGGGCCTCCGCCTGTCCTGCATGGCTGCCTCTCAGCTGTTCCCTGCAAGTGCCTGCAAAGGCGCTGCTGGTTCTTCAGTCACTTGCGGGGCTAGCCATGTCCTGACAAGTAATTACGTATATCCTTTCAAACAAGAATAGCAGGAGCACAAAAGTTGTTTTTTAGAGAGGAAAATTTTGAAAGTGAAAAAGCTCTCGGAGAATCTACTGTCCAAATCTCCTAGAGCAAATAAGCTCGTCCAGATCTTGCCATGTGTTGCTGGGGCAGCATCACCTGTCAATTTAAGGCATTGACAATATGTGCAGAAGTGACGAACGCTAAATAGTCTAGAACGGGGTCACTCCATATGGAGCCTGCATATGGCTGGGGATATCTGGCTCAGTCCATCCTACTTCCACATGTTCCTGACCACAACTATTGTGTGCCATTTAAAATTTATCTCTCCAAATACACATTTAAGTGTATTTCTCTCCCAAATGCAAACCCATGTGTGCATTTTTTTTTCTTTCAAAATACACACTGAAACTGCAGAAAGCTGAGTTGCAACATCCAGATCATTAGCTAAGTATCAATCCACACATTAGTTCAAGAGGTGTGCAAAATCAGGTCACAGGGATTATTTGCAAAATTCTATTTTTTTATACAGGGTAAGCACGCAACTCAGATTATACTGAACCAGCAATTACATTGCAAAACTAACCCAATACATGGTGCAAGAGTGATACTTTTATTCATAAAGTTAGCATGCCACCTAGTGCTTAGAAAGGATTCTGCATTTCTCTCTTTCTATGGGAAAGGTAGACTGCATGAGTACCTCTTATTTTATTATATTGCCCATGGTCCCTTCCAGATCTAGTCATTTTACAATCTTCCCTGGAGGAACAATCCACTTTTAAGTTCATCTTCTGGATGCTTTAGTCCAGAAGACAGAAGGTTCCAGCTATATGAAGATGGGGTCAAAGTGGGAAGCTTGTTTTCTCATTTCTGCTCATGGGTGTTTTAGTAATGAAAGGTCATAACATTGTGTTTTTCCACTGGGGGGGGGGGTCATAAAGTCTTTTTTGGCACCACACTTTGGCTATGCAGTGAGCCACACTATATGCAGTAGGCAAAGGCAATTCAGAAAAGCAAAACCAGGCCCTACTCTTAAACATAGCTCATAATCTGCAGTAACATCTATTCCAACCACCACCAGCTTTTCTGGACATAAGGGGCAGTATCCAGTGCTGCCAATCAGCCAGAACTAACTCATCCTGTGCTGGAAGGAATGCCCACTAGCACAACAGGAAGCTAGGGCGGCCTAGCACAACCCAGGAAACTAGTCCAGACGACCACTTCAGGAAAGGGAAAATTTTCCACAAGTTCTATTGACTATCCTATTCTAGCAGCAGTTATTTCTGCTAGTTTCCACTAGCCAGCACTAGCAGACATTCTCACTACCGTGTGTTTCCCGAAAATAAGACACTGTCTTATTTAGTTTTTGCTCAAAAAAACACATTAGGTCTTATTTTCAGGTAGGTCTTATTTTTTTAATGTACAAAATGTACATTTAATGTACACCCTCCTGCTTGCACTTCTGCTGTGCACGCTTCTGCTTGCACTCTTCTGCTGTGCATCCTCCTGCTTGCACTTTTCTGCTGTGCACCCTCCTGCTTGCACCCTCCTGCTTGCACTTTTCTGCTGTGCATCCTCCTGCTTGCACTTTTCTGCTGTGCACGCTTCTGCTTGCACTTTTCTGCTCTACACTTTTCTGCTGTGTACCCTTCTGCTCTGCACTTTTCTGCTGTGCACGCTTCTGCTTGCACTTTTCTGCTGTGCACCCTCCTGCTTGCACGCTTCTGCTTGCACTTTTCTGCTGTGCATCCTCCTGCTTGCACTTTTCTGCTGTGCACGCTTCTGCTTGCACTTTTCTGCTCTACACTTTTCTGCTGTGTACCCTTCTGCTCTGCACTTTTCTGCTGTGCACGCTTCTGCTTGCACTTTTCTGCTGTGCACCCTCCTGCTTGCACGCTTTTGCTGTGCACACGTCTGCTTGCACTTTTCTGCTGTGCACGCTTCTGCTTGCACCCTTCTGCTGTGCACACGTCTGCTTGCACTTTTCTGCTTGCACCCTTCTGCTCTGCACACCTCTGCCCCGCACTCCAGTTGCTGACAAAAGCTGTATACACTGATCCTCTCCAGCGCCTGCTACCAGCACTGTCACAGGCAGCGGAGGAAGCAGAGCGGCTTGAGCTGATGCTTCCTCTATAGTGCCAGCTCCTGTGACAGGCGGAGTGCATTTGATATCACTCCACCTTCACAGGAGCCAGGACTATAAAGGAAGTATCGACTTAAGCTGCTCTGCATCCTTCCGCTGCGCCCTCTGCACCCTGCTGGCACTCTGCAAGTAAGCAAAAAAAGTAAGACCTATTACCAATAATTTTTAGTAATAGGTCTTACTTTCGGGGTAGGGCTTATATTATAGGACCTACCCCGAGATAAGACTAGGTCTTATTTTCGGGGTAGGTCCTATTTTTGGGGAAACACGATAGTTTAGTGACGGCTTTGGATAATGCCCAATTATTCTCAGTATTTTCAGCTATAATTGAAAAGATTGTGCACAAGGTCTGGGATTTACATTTGTGTCTGTATGATCGGTATTTTTGCTCAGATACTTGGGCAACCAAACAAAAGAATGAATATAAACAACAGAAGCTTACTGATTTGCAGTTTCTCCTTGCATGCATTTATATGGCTTTTACTATCACCTTTATGTGTCATAAAAGAAATAGCTACTGTGGTCTACTAGGTACAATTTTCACAAAGTCTGAAAGAATAATAAGGGATGTTTTCAAAACCATCTAAACTAGAAGCAGATTCAAAAAATCAAATATGAGATACGATAAAGCGATGCTTTGGGTACTCTGTCCCATATTTTTCACTGAAGTCTCCATTTCCCACTCAAATTCACATTTAATCCTTAGTCTTAGTAATTGTTCTAAAAACGTACTTATCACATCGATCACAATGAGTGCATGGTCGAGAAGAATTGCAAAAGAAGCCAGGCATACACTTGCATTTTTCATTCTGGTAAATGTTACAGGGTTTTTCAACTTCCATACCTAAAATAAATGGAAAATGTCATTAAGTCATTTGAAAATGGATTGGCTGTTTTACAGTTCTGGTGACTTAGAAGCACTAGATCAGTCTTCTCCAACCTTCTGCTCAATTGAAGATTAGGAGAAGGACGTTGACAGTTTGACAGTCAGACCAATTACTTTCAGCAGTGTAAATGGTGGCCCTCCAGATATTTTAGCCTACAACTCCCTAGCCATATGGGATGAAAGGGAACACCTTCATTCAGAATGGAATCGGCTTAAATGTATAGCCAGAAGAAGAATGGAAGTCTGGTGGGGAGGGACGATATGTGAGGAGAAATTGAGGGAAGTGGGTCTTTTCAGCCTGAAGAAGAGACTGTAAGGGGATATTTTAGTGACTTATAGGTATATGAGGGGATGAAAAGAAAACAAAAACTTTCCCAAGAGCTTTAGCTATTGGACAGTAAAGAAATTAAATAAATCTTCTTCCTCTTCTCTCTTCTCCCTCTTTGGGAGCTAAAATCCCCTTTGTGCTATGAAATAGCCTCTTCCCCACATTTTATAAGGAGAAAAAAACATCAGACATCTGTGTCCTCTTAGGGAGGCTAAGCCAGCTCACAAAAAGCAGAAACACAACTCATTTTGGCATCTGTGCTGTTCCTATCTGCCTCGAGGCTGTTAAATGCATTGGGGTTACATGATGTTGTCCTACATTTCTTTATTTCACGATACCCATGAATTCTTGCTGCTGCTGCTGCTGCTGCTGCTATTTGAGTACTAATACAAGTAAGAATATGAATTCTACTAATAGGCGTAGGGGACCTGGTGCCCTCCAGATGTTTTGGACTGCAGCTCCTTCAGTCCTTGACCATTGGTCATGCTAGCTAGCTCTTAAGGGAATTTAACTCCTGAAATCTCGAGGGCACCAGGTTGCTCACCCTACACATTTATTTTTCACTCATCTTACAAGGAGTTTAGACTTGTATACATGGAATTGAATCTACAGGTCTCTCCTCTTTCCCTCAAAACAATCCTGTGAAGTAGGTTAGGCTAAGGAAAAGTAACCATTCAAAGTTTCTTTCTGAATTTTCTGGATGAAATGAGACTTTGGACCCAGGTTTCCCTAACTCAAATCCAACACTTAAGCATGAATGCATACTGGAGTTCAAAATGGCAGAGCTCAAGGGAGAGTTTCCCATCATCCGGCATAGAGGTGACATGATGCACAAACTTTCTTTATCCACGCACTGCTCTAATGGAGAACCTGTGGGCTGAGCCCAAATGCTCTTAGGTCCTCAGTCTGCATCACCTCACCTCCAGCATGATAGCTCTCCTTTGCAGCTGAGGAAGTCAACTTTCCTCAGGCAACGCTTTTCCATCACTGCAGCAGTATGACCAAAAAGCTTCTCATTCTGACTTTCTGGTTCTGTCAAGTAGCTGAGCTGTTCTAACTCTTGCAGTGATGCTCATTGCCCTAAACTTTACAGAGAGGGAGGACAGCCTTCCTTCTGAAATATTACATCCAGCTAGTATGAGGCTTAAGAGCAATGTCATGGAATCCATTAGCTTGTCCGCGCCAGTGAATAAACCATGTGATGAGATGAAGTGGGATGAACCTCTTCGAATAATAGATGTCTATAACCCTTAGTCCAATGGTGAAGCCACATGGCAAGTCCCAGTTGTGAGTCAGTGACACTCTAGTACATACAACACCCCTCCTGTGATGTTGGGGTGGTTTGGCCTCTAGTTTACAGAGGCAGGAAAAAGTGCAAACCTGATTGTATGGTTGGTGAGCCTCACACCCTCAGATGCTACACACATCTGCTCCATGGGTAACTTGTGGCATCCATGTTGCAGGAGGACTGTCCATCTCCTCTGTGGCCCAAGGGACAGATGGCCATGCACCTTTCCGTGGATCCACCCCCTTTCTCCCATCTGCCAGTCACTGGGAAGTTGCTTGGCTTCGGGGAAGTTCTTTTTCCTCCTTCTGAATGGTTGAAATGCTTCTCCTAAGACTCAGCTACTAAGAGGTTTAGGCTTTAGCTCTGTCCCCTTTGCCTTTGGAGCACCCGTGGAATGTACCTCCAAAGAGCCCCTCTAAATTAGAATTTGGCTTTCTGCATAAAATGCATTCAAAATGTTTTCCCCTGCGCCAATGTACTGAAGCTGTAACAAAATGCTGTCAGCTGTAAACCTACCATGCTCGCTGTCACAAAAGCCACACCTCAGACAATGCAGTTGATAATTGAAATGATCCATATACTCTTGGCGGTCAATGCAACGTTGACAAGAGGTACTCGGATCCTCCTTTGTACAGCCAACTTTTGTAGCAAAACTACCTGTTCAAAAATAAAATGGAATAAAATAAGCACAAGACTGAAGCTGGTATAACCCTCTGTAATGTCTTTGATTTCTTTAGTCACACTGAATTATCTGCAAGCATGTAGGTAACAAGGCATTGACTGCTCCAGTTGTGGTTGGCTAAATTATATGCATACTATTCAGTACTGTGACAAAGACAGCTCTTGATAGCAAGGCATGCAACCATTTTCCTTTCAGAAGTTCTTCTGAAGGTGGCACCCCACACTGAAGAGAAGGTTGGACGTACTCTGCAGCACGGTGGGGGCTGAATGTGGTAGGGCATTGGGATCCCTCTCATGAGGAAAGAGGCATGCTTCCAGCAGATAACCTCCAACCTCTGCCTGCTTTTGAGGGCTGCGTTTGCCATCAGAGGTGGTACTGGGGTGCCACTTTTACATTCTTTCGTCCACCAAGTGATGATTTCCTTGCGCCACCTCCCCAGTCACGTTTAGCTCCCTGGTGACATCATAGAGGCAAATGAAGCTGCACTGCCCTCAGTCTGGAAGGGGGCCAGTATATATATGGGGCGCAAACGGAGCGGCTGCTCTCCGTCTCCCCATCAGGCACTTTTCTGGAGTGACAAGACACGGAGTACCAGACTGATGCCACTGGAAAGTGCACAGTAGACCCTACCCCTTGGTCTGCACACAATGCACACACATTTTGTGCTATCCTGAAGCCTCTTCAGGATAAACAAACAGGATAAACACCTGCTCCTTCAGGTGACCCCAAAGTACTGGTGAGGTTTGGTCTTCAAATTTGCTTGAGAGACAGTAAAATAAATGTAAAGAGAGAATGGCAGAAATAACACCGTCCTCACACCACTCTTTTAGTAATGTGTGATTTTATTAGTTTATTATGAATATGCTTTATCCATTTTATTGATTATAATTATTAATAATTTTATAAAAGAAATAACAAAATTATTATTTTTTTTAATGTGATAGCCAGTGTAGCGTAATAGTTAGAGTGCTGGACTCAGGATCTAGGACTTCCAGGTTCTCTTCCCAGCCCAGCCAGGGAGCTGGCTGGGTGACCATGAGTCAGTCACAGACTCTCAGCTTAACCTACCTCACAGGGCTGTTGTGAGGATAAAATTGAGAGGAGGAGGATTATGTAATCTGCCTGTGTTTCTTGAAAGGAAAAAAAGGCAGGATTTAAATAGATACATAAATAATAAAGGTTATCAGTTTACTTAGATATAATACTAAGAAACTGTAGACTTGCAAAATAGTTTACATTGCTCAAAGAACTGACATAATGGAATACAATCTTAAGCTTTCAAGAATTGAGTTATCTGTCCTATTACTTTTGCTCCAAAATATTTTGGAATGGAAACAAATAAATGGCTAGTTTTTTTAAATTAATGTGAAATGTGTTGTTTTATAGATCATTGCTGGATTTTGTTGTTGGTTTTTGTTGGTTTTTTAAAGGTCCTTTGTAAACAGTCTCAAGATGTGAACTCATTTTCTAAACATTTAAAAAGGCCTGTTCAATTATAGTGTGATGATGTCGCGAATTATGGAACTCAGAATGGACTGTCTGTGCATGTGCAGAGAAGCTCTTTTGCACCTGGGGACTTTCCCAGCATGTGCTAGGTGTTGTTTTGACTACTATTTATGAACCAGACACAGCATGTGCTGATACCATTTTGCCAAATCCCAAAGCTAAATCTGTAGCTTGCGATCTGGTTGCCTGCTGAAATGTTGTTGCGGGGATAAGATGGAGGAGGAGATGTAAGCTGCCTTGAGCCCTTTGTAGGAAAAAGGCAGGATAGAAATCCAGAAATAATAAATGAATGAATGAATGAATGAATGAATGAATGAATGAATGAATGGGGGATGACAGCATATGGGCTGGAGTGAGGTAGGCAGCAAAAGCCCTTCCTTGCAGTGCGGTGTGCCCTATCCACAGATCAGGATCTTGTGCTGGATTGGACTAAACAAAAAAGGAGAACAGTTCACTGTCCAGCATCCTGTTTCCGGCAAATGGACAGTCAGACGGAGGGTTGTAGCTTAGAAACAGAAACAGAGCGAGTCAGAAGGGGTCTCCCGGGCCATCTAGTCTGACCTCTGGCACCAGCTGGCTCCGCTCACGACATGCCCACCATGTGCATGTCCAGCCTATCCTTGAACACCCGCACCGATGGGGCCTCAACGACCTCTTGTGGGAGCCCATTCCACGCCCTCGGGGCCCTAACTGTCAGGAAGTGCTTCCTGGCATCCAAATGAAACCTTGGCTCCCTGAGCTTTGCTCCGTTGGAGCACCTCCTGCCTTCCTCTGCAGGGGAGAACAGGCCTCTACCCATCTCCATGTGACATCCCCTCACATACCTGTATGTCGCCAACATATCCCCTCTGAGTCACTCTTCTCCAGGCTGAAGAGACCCAGTTCACTCAGTCTCGCCTCATACCCCATCCCCTGCAAACCGGCCACCAACCTTGTGGCCCTATGCTGCACTGACTCCAACCTGGCTATATCCTTTCTGTAATGAGGGGCCCAAAACTGAGCACAGTACTCCAGTTGCGGGTGCACCAGATCTCTCGATCTAGAAGCCACACTTCTGGCTATGCAACCAAGGGTGGTGTTTGCCCTCTTGACCACCGCATCACACTGCTGACATGTTTAGCCTGCAGTCAACCAGTACCCCGAGGTCCCTTTCACAAGTGCTGCTCTCCAGCCACTTGTCACCTAACCTGTACTTATGACACCTATTCCTATGCCCCAAGTGCAAGACCTTGCACTTATCCACATTGATTGCCATCCTGTTGTCTCCTGCCCACTTCCATTGTCTGTCCAGATCCTTTTGGATCTGGAGTACCTGCTCCTCAGTTGTGGCCACTGCTCTAGTTTTAGTGTTGTCTGCGAATTTGATCAGCAGACTGTTCACCCCTTCTTCCATGTTGTTAATGAAAAGATTAAACAGGATCGGCCCCAGGACAGAGCCCTGGGGGACCCCGCTTATCACTGGCCGCCATCCCAATGATTCCCCACTAATGGTTACCCTCTGCTTTTGGTCAGTCAACCATGCCCTAATCCACCGGACAGTGCTTTGGTGTATCCTAAAACTCCTCAGTTTCTCCACCAGGATATCATGGGGCACTTTGTCAAAGGCCTTGCTGAAATCCAGGTATACCACATCCACTGCATCCCCTCCATCTAGCCATCTCGAAACCTTGTCATAGAATTCCACAACGTTTGTCTGGCAGGACCTGTTTTTGTGGAAGCCATGTTGTGTGGCTGTCAGCCTCCCTTCCCTATCTAGCATCACTAGATCTCTCTCTATTATGAACCTTTCCATTGTTTTTCCTACAATGGACATAAGGTTAACAGGTCTATAATTCCCCATGTCCCTTCTACTACCCTCTTTGAAAATTGGGACCACTGATGCCACCCTCCAGTCCTCTGGCACTTCACCCGTTCTCCACAAGGCCTCAAAAATGGAGGCCAGCAGGCGTGAGAGAACCCCTGCCAACTCTCTAAGTACTCTCGGGTGTAACCCGTCAGGGCCTGGAGCCTTTGTAATGTCCAATGCCCTGAGGAGCCCCTCGACTTCAAGGGGGGTGACTCTAATCTGTGCCCCTAAGTCCCCAGCCTCATCTAATCTCCTATGCGGATATCCCCCGTCCTGCTTTGGGGAGAACACAGAGGCAAAATAGTCATTTAGCATCTGTGCCTGTTCCCTCATATCAGTCACTGGATCTCCTTCCTCCTTATTTAGTGGTCCCACCACTTGTCTCCCTTTCCTCTTCCTATTTACATGCTGAAAGAAGCCCTTTTTGTTGCTCTTGATATTCTTGGCAAGTCTCAGCTCGTAATCAGCCTTACCCTTGCGAAGAATCCTTCTGCAACGGGCCTCCTCCTCCAGGTATACCCTTTTGTCTATTTGCCCCAGTACCCATTTCCTACGGAGGTTCCTCTTTCATCTAATCCCTCTAACCACCTCCTTTCACATCCATGGCGGTGCTCTCCTCCGCCTCCCCACTTTACTAACTAAAGGTATCGTCAAGGCTTGTGCCTCCAAAACCTCCCTTTTGAGTGCTATCCATCCCTCCTCAACTCGCTTACCTTCCAGTAACCTATCCCAGGAGACTCCCCAGTCTGGCCTTCAGTTGGCCAAAGTTGGCCCTCTTGAAGTCTCAGCTTCTAGTGCTCAACCTGCTGCACGTCCCCAGTCCCCTGATCTCAAAGCAAAGGATGGAGTGATCACTCGCATCCGAAGCTCCCCTAATCTGTACTTCATCTATCAGCTCCTCCCTATTGGTCAAGACCAAGCCAAGGATGTTTCCCCCCCCCCTCATTGCCTCTCGGACCCTCTGTGTGAAAAACCCTCCCTCTATAGCTTCTAGGAAGCGACGTGACCTAGTTGTCACTGCTGAGTGAGTCTCCCAAGTAACATCCGGGAGACTGAAATCTCCCATAATTACTGTGTCTCTCCCCCAAGATATCCTTAGAATCTGGCCTGTCAGGACATCATCCAGGGTCTCAAGTTGACCTGGGGAGCGATAACATATGCCCACTGTCAGGTCTCTTTCCCTGTCAAAACCCCTAAGTTTCACCCAGACTGCCTCTGCCGAATCCCCATCTGTGCTGCATTCTATCTCACTGCATCCTATCCCTTCCCTGATGTATAAAGCCACGCCCCCACCTCTCTTTCCCTTCCTGTCCTTTCTAAAAAGGTGATACCCTTCTATGTTCACACTCCAGACTTGCCCTTCATCCCACCAAGTTTCTGTGATTCCCACCAGATCATACCCTCCTATTCCCAGGAGAGCTTCAAGCTCTTCCTGCTTATTACCCATGCTCCTAGCATTGGTGTACATGCACTTCAACTCCTTCCCACCGCTTCCTTTCCTTGGAGTTCCCATCCTCCTCCTTCCTCCCATCCTCCCTGATACCTGGCCCCTCTCTGCAGAAGTCCTGTCAGTCCCTGCAGTATCTCTAAAACCCTGCTCCCAGAGCCCTGATCCTCCCCCCACACTTGTCCAGTGCAGACACGTTACTGGGGGGCCTGAACCCGCCCCCCCCCCGGCTCAGTTTAAAGTCTTCTGGACGAAGCTCGCTAGAGCATCTCCAAAGGACCTTTTCCCCATCCTTGTGAGGTGTAACCCGTCCCATGCCAGAAGTCCATTGGCAAGAAACCGAGTGCCGTGGTCGAGGAACCTGAAGCGTTCCTTCTGGTACCACACCCTAAGCTAGTCATTCACCTCGGAGGCCCTCCTTTCCCTTCCTGTCCCAAATCTGTATGCAAAAGCTACCAAGTTCAGTCCTTGTGCTTCTCAGGAAAGACCCTGGCCTGAAACCCTGCAGACATTCAGTGTAATTAATACTGAACTAGATGAACCAATAGCCAGCAGTCCAAATTCCTTAAGCATATAAGCAAGAGATAAAGTTAGCTGCTCTCACCTATTATTGCTTTCCAGCATCTGTTATTCCCTATTTCTGAATATGAAGGTTTGATTTAACTAACATGCTGATCACAAGCCTATTCTCCATGTCAGCAGACATCTGCGCTGCTCCTGGTAATGAATTGTAGGATTTGTGGAATGTCTCTGAAGAACTACTTTTTTTCAACCTGTCTTTAACCAGGCCAGGGATCCACAGTTCAAGTCACAATTTCTTCAGTGTGGACACAGTTAATTCTGTCCACACTGACCATATGTTGAAATAGGTGACTCTTTGTTACCTCTAGTCTCACTCGGTCCTTTTCATAAAAAGAAAATTCTGCAACAGTTTTTTGCTTTATCAGCTCTATGGATTGATACCACTAAAGATAAGGTAATCTTCCCCTTTGACACTAAGAGCTCATTAGTTTTGGTTGTCATAACAAGGTTATTATTACTTCCAAGTCTTTCCCATGTAATTTTTGAAGAAAAATATTAAAAACTAAGACCAATTCAAAAATTATATTAGCGTTCCCAAATATGTGAAGCCTTGAACTGAATGCTTTGCTCTCTCCCAGTTCTACATAGCCACAAACCAAGCCTCTATACTGGCCTCGTTCTGAGCTGGGAGTAGCAGGAGTGAACTGAGCGAAGTGGGGCAGAGACGCAACTAGTTTTTCAAGCAAGTGGAAGAGCACTACTTATGGTGCACAGCTGTTTCACCAGTGCTATGTAGCAAGACTTTTGCTCATATCCAACTCTTTGTTACATGTATCTGGCTCTTGTGTATTCTGTGAAATGAATGTAGAGTATGGGTGGAATGTACATTCAGATGCGAGAACAAACACGCACACCTAGAGCCTTTATTCTCCAACTAGTCTACCAGTTGTGATTAAGGTTAGTTGAGGAAATTTGTGATTGTTCTCAATCTTACCCACTCCACCATGCTTTCAGTGACATTTGTATATTTGATGCAAGTTTCAATTAACGGGAAAAGAATGCATGCTTTTAAAAGTGTACGCAATTGAAGTATACATCTGAAAAGAAACATGGAAATAGGTATGGATTGTCATACAAGAAACCCTCAACAGCAATCAAACCTGCCCCACAAAGCTTGCAATGTCTTATGGGCTCCAGCTGGAATGAACCCAGAGCCTGAATTGAGAGAGCTTAAGTGAGCTCAATTTTTGCTGATTTGCACATCCCTGGATGTGACTGGATCAGGACGAGGGATTATTGGTCTGTTTCTCACTGTTGCCGAGATGCTCTCCTCTGCAACCCATTTCACGTTCTCTTACGAAGAGGTATAACTAACACTGACAAGGGTGAGCATGTCATGGAGATCCAGGTCATCACAACATCACTCCCCCCTCATCTGGATTCTCCCCACTGGAAAAAGTCTCTTCAGTTATCTTACAACAACACATACCGGGAGGACAAGAGTTGCAACAGGTTCCATTGTAGCAGTACTGTACTTGCTTTTGACATTCAGGAAGATCTTGCTTGGAATCTTTGTCTCTGCATGTTGCTGACACTGCATTGCTGTGAGACACTCCAGCAGCAATCACAACTAATGCCTGTGAGACGGGAAAAAGAATTATACTAATACTGAATTATACAACTACTGAATTACGGCAGAAGCTTTTTGCCTCTGACATAGTGGAATTGCTGTGTTACTGTCACACCAACTCCTGCCTGGAACCTCTAAGGGAAACTGTGATTATAAGAAGAGTCATGCTGGTTCAGCCCAAGGGTTTGTTTCATCCGGCATTATGTTCACAAAGTGATCAACCAGATGCTTGTGGGAAACTCACAGTCAAACATCAGTGCACTTGCACCCTACTTATTGTCTCTCCATGGAAATGGTGTGCTGCCTTTGATACTGCAGATAGCATATAACTACCATGAGCATGCATGCATTCATTACATTTGAATAGAGATGCCAGGCAAGCCCCTCTGGGAAGCTCCTTCCACAACTGGGGTGCTACAAGAGCATTAATTGATAGGCCTTTCTTAATAAATTGAGAATTTCATTCAAGTAACACAAACCCATAAAAAAGAAAGAAAAGCAAAGAAAAATACTATTTTCTCACATAGATTTAAATAAATACATGCATGTGAAATACGTACCTATGTTGCATATAGGAAGAATACACCTATTGATAAAAACAGTTATGCATAAGCTTCAAGCAAAGTAAGCCAAATACCCATATGGTTATCTATTTGCATGCATCTAAACGCCACCTGTTCATATGTTGAAAGCATCATTAAGCATCTTCATTAAGTTACAAGACATGGACATTTATCCTTCCAATGTAAAAATATCAGTCTTTTAAGCTGTTAAATGGGTGTGGGAGATTAATTTATGTGGACCTTGTGTTAACTTCCAAGTGACTGGTTAATAATTTAAGAGAACATGTGTAACAGTGAACATAAAAGAACTTTTCAATACTAAGTTTATCTCTGCTATGATCTTCTCTCAACAAGAGGCAATTACTGGATGATGCCACGAGAAGCATTGGCAGAATTACATTTCCAACAATTAGCTGGCTTAGACAAATCCTTATTAAAAAGATGAAAGGGATCCCATGGAATATAGAAAGACAGATACCTATAAAGTTGTATTTGTGGGGTAACATTAATATACTTAAGAAGAAAATTGTACATAGGATTGGCTCTATTTTCTGCAGGATTTCTTTATTTATATCTGGCAAGTATTTTCAAAACTTAGCTACTGTGTTCCACAGTTACTTCAAAATTTAAGTACTATGTTTCTTTGGGATTTCTCTGCACATTCCTGCTTGAATGCAGGTAGAACTTGATACAGCTAAGAGCCCTGAAAACACAGAGTTTGCAATCCTGCATAGAAAATCCATTCAGATCTCATCAATTCAGCATGCAAGCCTCAAGCCACCTGCAAGACTGCCAGCTTCTTCAAAGACACACAGCCTGAAGGACCTCAGAGAGTGTGGAAGTGGGTGGAGAGAAGGTGGAGGAAGACATGGCCACTTCTAGGAGGAGTCTGTGGACATTTCTTTAGCCTTTGTTAAAGCTAATTTTCTTAACAAAAGGAGGGCCCTGGGGAATCTCCACAGGTCCAAGGCTTTGTCCAGATGTTCCTCAACCCAGATAGAAAATCCATTACCAGAAAGCTGAAGAAAAACTCATAACAATTGAATGTCTCCACAGCTAATGTTCACAGAGTTCAAAAATAGTTCCTATTGTTCAGCAAACAGTTCTCACGCCTGGAAAAAATGTAAGGGATTTGTTCTCAAGCTAGAAAAATAGTGTGTCCATGGAGAAACTAACTTGTCAGGAAATAATACCACCATGTTCACATGGAGGAAATACTTGCTATAATTATTTGGTAAGGAGCAGGTATAGAAATTCTTTATCCTTTTCCATGTCCACTGATGCAGTGAATCTGTGAATTCCTTACTTGTCAGTCATTCCTCTGTGCAATTTCTCCAGCATAATGGAAGTCAAGAACTTGTGTATATCTCTGAATAATGGGGTAGAATTATTGCTTCTTGCATTTTCTTTAATATTGCTTTACATAAATTGACCAGAACCATGCTGTTATTTGGAAATGAACACAACATATCTGGGGAAATTCCCCTGCCCCAACACATGGGTACTTAAAAAAAGATGGTGGAGGGGGATGGGGAAGCATCCATTAGTATCTTCATTAGCATCCACAAGGAGGGGGCAAATTCTGGAAAAATGGCTGGGACATAGGATTAAAGCTACTCAGGCAGATGGTCACACTTTGTTTCAGGACCCTACATGTTTGCTTTAATGTACCACAGAAAAAGGAGTTTACCTGTATGCTACACATTTAATGTATTGAGCAGTTTTATTCTGGAAAAACTAGGAGCATCTGGAACACTTTATTCTGAATGCATTTCTCTGTTTCTCTTTGCAGTGTATTTATTGCCTCTTGGATTTCCCATATAAAGAACTCCTTGCACATGGAATAAGCTTTTTGTTCTTGAGATGCTAGTTCATTTAAATGCAGGAACTTTTTCTCATTCAAAAGTTCCCCATCTGAAGCCTGACATCAAAGTCCAGAAAGTTTAGCATGCTATTGTAAGTGTTGTACCTGACTCCCCAGGATCCTGACATAATAGAAACACCTATCAGCTTTCTCAGGGCATTCAGGATAGGCATGACTCCTCTAGGCTCCAGATAGGCATGACACGGCCAAACACTAGAATAATCAGCTGTCTCAGGGTATGCATGATAGGCTTAGCTCTCCTAAGCTCGAGCCCATTCAAATGACTAGTAACTGCCTCAGAGAATTCCCTCAGAAAATGGAAAGAGCTTACCTACAATGTAATGGACAAAGATTGCTTAGAAGGTGTAAATTAAAAGATAAAAAACTTACTGCTAACCAAATCTGCTTCTGTATATCGCTTGCTCAACTGCTTATGTGATTCTGTAACTCCCCATTGTCGCCATTGTTCTCATTCTTGTCAAAAACTGATTGTATTGTTCCCCATTTGCCGAAAGCGGATTGTGAAGGTATAAAGATCTCCTTCCAACTCTGTTCAAGCCCCGCATTCTAACCATGAATGTTGGTCCCTGCAAGAAATCTTGCAGGTAATTAAACTCCTCTTTACTTTACCATCCGGTCTCTGGTCTCGTCTGTAACACCGCGGGTACAACAGTAAGTGACTGACAAACCAGCTAACAAGTACTTTCTGCTTAACTTCAGCTCAACAGCATGAAGTTCAAAGCTGACAGTTTTCACAACTTCTCTCTTTGCCATGCCCATTCTTGCCTTCTTGGAATGTCACTTTGACTGATTTTTAAATAAAATAACAAGCCTCTAAAATGCCACATAGCTTTGAATGTAATGGATATGCATCATCTGAACCTTCTTTGTGTGTTTTTTAAAGTATCTGTACAGGATGTGGAATTCATTGAAATAAAATAATGGCTAAAATCCTGATTACAGAAATTCCCTCAGGGTTGCATCATCAATCATTACAAGCAAAGTATATTTTGCCCAGATGCCCCTTAGTGACTTGCAGAACAGTCAAGTGGCTTTTGCTGTGGCCATATATGCCGCAACAGGAAACACATCTTATATCTGTCTTCTCCAATACATGTTTACATCCACAAATATAAATTCAGTATTTCTACTATTCAGTTCAATGGATTGAACCCCTTGTAAGTGGGTTTAGGATCGCAACTTTCCTGTGCAGTAGGAAGAATTGCAGGCCTGTGACCAAATCCAGCAGGGTCAGCAAATGTATGTTGCTGCCTCCAGAAAGGCAGCCGTGCCCCTTCTCTTGTGGCAGGATGAACAGCAACCATTCTGTGAAAAGTGCCACCCAAATAGCCTCAGCTACCTGTCACGTTCATTTCCGTGAGGAATTGTGACTTGTACCCAGCACAGGAGCCTGTCAAACAGCAAGCTGCCAGAATGCCCCTTCGACGAAGGGCTGCAAGAGTCACTGCAGGTAGGTAATGCGTGTGGGAAAAAAAATACTTACAGGATGCAAGGCTAAGAGGTAGAAAAGGACCTGCTGCATCTTGGCGTCTTCAGGCCTGGTATGTGCAGAACTGGAAAAAGAAAGTAAAACTTGAGTGCCTCGCAGTTGCACCCTCCCCTTTGCTGTCGGCTTTGCAAAACATCTCGCCTGCAGAAAGAGTTAACTGTTGCCTGCCTGGTTGGTGCTCTTCTGAGTTAGGGAAATTCCTTTCCATTGCTGCCGTACAGGAAGCTGTGTCGTTCACACAGAGGGCATGTTGGTAATTGTCAGAGCAATTCATCAACAGTGCACGATGCTGGATTAGGTGTGTTGTAAAAGTTCTGTGTGCCCTTTAAAAGGAGCCTGGTAGGACAGGGCAATGGTTGTAGATAAATCCCCTAATCTGTCCTTTTTCTCCAAGGGGAAAAAGGGGGGGATATGCTTTTGCATTTTCCTGATCATTTAGAACCTCAGGAAAAAGTGCAAAATACGCACTCTCCTGAGAACTATTGTGGGGTGGGGGCAGGAATTAGGCACGACCAAGGTGGGCATCCCACCCCTCCCTTTTTGTGAGCAAAGATCACCTGCAGCTTTGTTTCAACAGCTCCCCTTTTGACATCTCCCAAAGGGTGAAAAACTTCTCTTTGGACCCTCTTTGCATCATTGTCTGGGGTTGGTTTCTGCTACATCAAAGTATTGAAATGGTTAACACTGGGGAATGCTGGGAATGGTAGGATTTTTTCCCCTCCATGAAAACAAGTTTAGGATTGCACCACAGGCCTTTCCGTGGCTGTTAGGTTTGATAACTACATGGAACTTGGTACAGAGGGATAATTAGAAAGGGGTCTTATTCCAGAGCATCCCATCTGTCCAACCGCACTTGCCTTTCCCCTTCTGGAGCTAGACCAAGAACAGCCCTCTTCTTTGCCACAGCAGTAGCAGATGCTTCTCGGCTGGCTACACTGCCAGAGTGCAGGGGTGGAGCATCTGTTGCGTCAGAAGCTGAGAAATGCCAAGTCACTGTGTCAGAGTGGCCAGGAGAGGGAAGGAACACAAGACCAGCACTGGCAGGGGTGCCTCAGAGGCCTGCATATTCCAAGTGAGCACATCTGCTTACTGTTTCTGTTGTAACCCCCCTCATAATCAAGCACGTAGCCAGGGCATGGCTCATCACGAGTATCAGGGTGTCCTGTTCGCATGAGAACAAGTACACGAACACGGATGTGCACGCTACGCAAAGCTGACGACAAAGCAGGCTACGCTCCAGCATTACCAGTATCACCGCAGACGTTATGCCCTTGTACCCACGCTTGCTTGCTTTTGCATGATAAATGTGCAAAATGTGCTCTCCCCTGTTGTTTCTCTGTTGTTCCCCTATTGTTCGCTGTCATTCAAGCATAAGTGTAAAAGAGTACAAAACCAAATGTCTCTCCTCTGCCTGCGACCACACTCTCACGAGTGCATGGTCCCTGCCGGCAGGTAAAAATAAATCTCTCTCGATAATTCCAACCCGTCTCTGGTCTTGTCCGTAAAATCTCGCCATACAACAATTGGAGGCCCCAGCGAGATCCGAGACTATCTGTCTTGCCTCCCGCCGACACCAGGGATGGGCCCACAGGCATCTTATGCCTCTGCCCCGGCTCGGTGGGACGTCTGACTAGCTGAGAGAGGAATTACCGGTAAGTGCGCACGGCGGTTACCCGCCATTAGTATCTGCAGATCTGGTATTGGAAAGAAAAGCCTGCTGGACGCAGCGTAAGGGCTACTTTCCGGTCTGAGGTGAGACGTCGCTTCTGGCCTCAGTTCCTGTTTAGATTGTCTGTCTTGTCGTCTGTCTTGTTGCTCTCTGTTTTGTTGATGTTTTGTCATCTGTCTTGTCTGTTTTGTCATCTGTTTTGTTGATCTGACACTTGGAATTCTCAGTATGGTTTATGTCCTGTTCTATCGTTGCTGTCTGTGTTCTGTCTTGTCTGTTTGCATTGAAATGTGTTCCCCTTTCTGGAAGGTAAGCATAGCATAGCCCAAAGTGGGTTTTGGGGTTCCTCAGGAAATAGAAGCTCCCCATGCAGCCGCACCAATCTGTCCTCTTCAGGGCAGGGTTGAAAGCAAGGGCGTGGATGGGTGTTCTTGCCCCTGAGATGAGAGTGTGTGTTAACCTGGCTTTGATTGAGAAAGATTCATGAGGTCATTTGCCTGAGCCCAAGCATGGCAAGCCAGCCAGGAACATGGCTGAGTCCGGCTGGGAAAAAGGTGATGATCAGGGCATGTGTGTGTGGGATTTTTTCCTTCCCCCATTCCTTGTATATGAGCCAAAACTGGGAAGTAAGGAAATGTGTGGCCCTTGAATTGGGCTTGCAAACACAGGTCCTACCCAGTTTTCTGGACATCCTCAATAAGCTTATCCTGTGTGAAAGCCCTGTGTGCAAGAGGGGTTATATAGAAACATTTTTATGAAGGTCCTTTCCTTGTCAGAAACCAGGAACACTGTTTTAATGTCTTTAATGTAAGTTTTCTGCCTCTCCCATATGCCTTACAGCCCTCCTAGGTAGGAAAATTCCTTTTTGTGAGATTAAATAATTGTGTTTGAAATTCCAGGAGGGGATGCTGATGGGCAGAGGAAAGATGGGAAAAAAATGTGTATACTGTTGGGAATACTCAGTAGGAATCCTGAAAAGGATTCCCAGTGAGATAAAGAAAGGGTTTTACATTGGGAACATATTGCAGGTAAAGTTTTGCAAATTTAAATTGTTGTGTTTAGCAGTCAGCCTGAGCAGTAGCAGGCTGGAATTCAACAGGGCAGAGTATAAAATCAGGGGAAGACAGATTGCAGTTGACCATTAATAAATATTTCTGCCAAATTGGTTGGTTTTTCTTCCCCTGTTGAACTTGCAGCTGTTTGGAATGTGAGTGAATTCTAAGAGTTTTGGTAAATGGTGATTTGGTACTTTTTCTACTGGAAAAAATATGGAAAGAAATGTGTAACTTTTGGAGAAAAACAAATGAAAAAAGAGGAACAGTCTACCTTGCTAAGAGCACTCCCATTATTTAAAGAGACAGTAACTGCAGCCTCTTCTCTGGGTTTGGTCTGGCCAACTGAATTCAGGAGGGATTTGTGCTGGAAAATTTGAATTTCTTGACTCTGTGGACTTGGCTATTCCACAGAACCAAGAAAAGGGGGGATGCTCTGGCAGGAAGATACCACAAACACCACTTTGTGAGTACTGCAGCAGCACATACAGCCTCTGAGCATGTGCAGAGTTCAAAATACTTTGAGAAGTTTGAGCAGCTCCGCTTCCAGCCACAGATTGGAGGCGGGCTTGCACTAGTTCTCAAAAAAAAAGTCTTTGAGTCTCTAGAAAACTCTAAAAGGAAATCTTGGTGTCTTGGAAATAAAAGTTGTGTAACTGAGGTAAGGCATTTGAGTGTTCAGAGCTTGTATTGCCTCTGGAAAAATTCTGCCTGGGAAGGGTTGGGTTAAAACAAAGACCCTCAAGCACTCTCAATGAGTCACTAGGGTTTTTTTTAGGAAGGGAATCCTTCCAAAAAGCAACGTTGTGAGCATGTGATTTGTGTCAGCCATCAAGAGTTTTCCCTCTCCAATAACTTCTATTTCTCTATGCAACATGGATCTGGGTCTTATATATGTGTGTGGGTATAAGTTCTGAATTCTGAGTATACCATTTTGTTATTTTGCTATGTTACAACTGAAGGATTGGGAGGAAATGGATGAAACTCTGGGGCTGTGTATGTGTATGCAGTAGGAAGAGTTTCTTTTCAAATCTATGAGGCTACTTTTCCCTTTGGTGTCCAACAGAAAGTTTTGTTTCCTTTTTCCTTTTGCAATGTGCCAAATATTAATGGTAGTAATATTGCTGTTACTGTTGTTACTGGTATTGATGCCCTTACAGTAGCCTAATGTTTGTTGGGGACTGAGCCCATTTGCCAGCCCAAGGATGCCCAAGGATGTTCATCTAAATGCGCAAGCATTGATTGTTAGATGAAATGTGCATTAGTTCAGGTTTGTTTGTGTTAACAATGGGTTGGTGCATTTTGCATCTATGTGGAAGAGTATCATGTCTGTAATAAGAAATTGTGTAAAACTGTTCTCATTGTCCAGAAGAAAGCACATTTCTTTTTAGCCTAGGCAAGCAACAGGTTCGTGCAACACCAGTTCAACAAAGGCTTTATTTGGTGTACATTTTTTTGCATTGTTTGGATTGATTTATACCTGGAAACAGCAGAACCCCCCTTTCTCTGAAAAACCACAAGGCCCCAGGGAATCCCCCTCCGCTTTCTTGGAACACCTACTTGAGGCATATAGGCAATACACACCTATAGACCCTCCGGTGGCTGAAAACGCGCGGGCAATTAACACAGCCTTTGTTTCACAGTCAATTAACACAGCCTTTGTTTCACAGTCGGCCCCAGACATCAAAAAAAAAAAAAAAAATCAGAAGTTAGATGGCTTTGAGGGAAAGTTACTTAGTGAATTAGTGGAAATAGCCCAGAAAGTATTCAACGGCAATCCTAGTGAAGGAGGCCAAGAAATTGACATTGGGCCAGGACCTCCAGATCATTGGCACCCACACGGTAGAGACCCTTCTCCGAAGCCCACCTCATCGCTGCATCTCCAACGCTCGCGCCACGCAATATCAGATATTACTGTTGGACCCTCCCCGGGTAACCTTCTCCAAGTCTCCAAGACGATGGTCCTAAATCCGGCCACCCTCCTCCTGGGGGACAAACAGGAGGGCCCTGCCCCCGACTGCACTGAGGCCCTCGACACTATCACCGGCACCAGACCAGATCTGTCCGATGTCCCGCTAAGGCCGCCAGCCCACAACCTATTTACAGATGGGAGCAGTTTCGTCAAGGACAGAGTCCGGTATGCGGGAACAGCGGTGGTCACCAGATCTGAGGTAATATGGGCCCAGTCACTGGGACACGGCACGTCAGCCCAAAGGGCACAGCTCATCGCCCTAGCGCAAGCCCTCCGGTGGGGGAAGGGGAAGACTCTTAACATTTACACGGACAGCCGGTACACCTTTGCCACGGCTCACGTCCACGGGGCGTTGTACCGGGAAAGGGGACTGTGGACCTCTGGGAGGAAGGATATTAAAAACATGGAAGAAATAATGGAGGCCCTCTGGTTACCAGAACGCATGGCTAGTACAAAACTGCCAGAGAGGCGGCCCTAAGACCAGTAGGGCCACTAGAGATCCTCCCGGTACATCTGCCTCCCCGAGTTCTTCCTGAACGGCCAACTGATTCACAGAAGGAAAAGGACTTGGGCACACTCTTGAAGTTGGCAGTCATTGGACGGACCTCCTTCCGTTTGCCCTCCTACGCACGCGATGCTCCCCTTATAGGAAGCAATTGTATTTGGGCGACCGCCCCCTCTGCTCCCCCGCCTGGCGGAAGAGACGCGCGCCCAGTTGTCTAACCACAACTTGCTTGAGTCCTTGCAGGCCCTTGATCGCGTCTTGCACGATATTCGCCGACAGGTTCGGTCCAACATGGGCGAGACTACGGAGGCTCCAGACCCCACAGCCGACCCCCGCAGCGAAAACCCGGGAGATTGGGTCTGGCTAAAGAACTTTCACCCTGTCACTCTAGGTGCCAGGGGGCTAGGACCCTTCCAGGTGATCCTCTCCACTCCCACGGCGGTAAGACTGGCTGAAAAACCCCACTGGATCCACGTGACACAGATAAAGCCTGCTTCGCCAGTCCTCTCGGGAAAAATGGACGGTGGACGGTGCACCAAACCGAAAACCCTCTGCGAGTCAAGTTAAAAAGGGTCTCCTCCCAGCAGCCCTCCTGATTCTTCTCGCTCGCCCAGTAGGCTGTCCCCTCCCGAACCCACACCAGCCACTTACCATGGAATGGACATTGCAGACTGCAGACTGATTGGCAGGCCTCCCCGCCAGTAGCAACTGTCCTAGGGGTGAATGTGTATCTCCTACTCGGAAAATTATGGGAGCGCCTGCCCATGGGGGCTCCACCTCTCTATAACATTAGAAGAGTTCTCAGGTCAAGGG